CCCCCCCCCCCCCTCCCACTCGCCAACTACATTTTCACCAAATTCTGCTTACCAACTAAAGCACTTCCCAATACAGATCGCCGGTGAAAATGTAGTGGGCGGGGCAACCCCTTTTGTGTTCTGTGTCTCTTCAATTCTTACCCCATCTAATCGTATCAGCCATCCCGTAGCTCCTCACCCTCTGAAAGTTAGGGAAGGAGCTCTGGGGTGGGTGGACCAACTGGATGTTCAACTCTTACCCCATCCTAGCCTTTTGCACGAGATAATCATCTCTCCCACCCCGGAGCTCCTCGCCTAACTTTTACAAGGGGAGGAAACCATCTCTGCGCCCTAGCGTGGTGGTCTCTATGTAATGTGCCGCCAGGTGACAGAGAGCAGGGCGCAGAAGGGCGCCGGTGAAACAAGGTAAGTCGTTGAACTCTGATAGCACGCGTTGTGGAATAACATACAAAGGATGCAGAACTTCACAGACGACATGTGTCATTACACGGCATAACTTTTTTTGAATTCACACATCCTCAACCCATTACATATAGGACGCATCAAAAGTGGATGTCGGCCAGGACTTGGGTTGTATGGAAAAAGTTAGTGAAGGAGCTGGTTTCTTGAGAAACAGTGGGGCCGCGCATTTGGGCGCGGTCCCGCCGGGAATGTAGTGCAGCGCAGTGAGCGACCGCAGTCCGCAAAAAGTTCGCAATGCGCCTGCCCTTCAGTTCATTCTATCATGTGATGCGCACTTTCTTCTTCACTTAAGTGACATTTCGTTCATCAGTAAAGTATTGTAGAGGGCTTCTTAGCAATCCCCGTACCCTGTCTTTCAAGGCTTCGTGGCTTTAACTATTTCTGTTTATGTAACGTATATTTATGTGCCTGCTTTGCTCCTCTCTGTTCGGTTTTGGAAATAAACTTCGGAGATTTTTGTCTTGTTGAATTCGAATAAAACGAAACTCGATTTACTATTAGATTCGGTAAAGAGAGCATCGCCGCACATTGATTGATGTTTGAGAGTTTTGTGCTGATTCAACAACTTGAAATTTACCCGAAACAAGCAATATACCATAGCATTTACAATTTACCATAGCAATACTACTTAACAAAAAGCTAGATTCTCGTAAAGCATGCCTGTAATTGAAACATCGGCAGCAGCAACTTCAATATTTCAACTTTAGAATGGATTAAGATGTTGAATTTGCTGCGCTTGTGAACTCGTTTTTACGAAGCAGCTGATGGAACATAGAAAGGGGACTGGTATTTCCTAATGGGGCTTGATTACAAAAGTCGTATGGGGGGGAAAGATGTGTCTTTAAAAGTGTAGTTTCAAGCGATTCTGTCCTTCCCATCATCATCCTGTGTTTATTATACCAGAATCCAGGGAGGCTTCTCCAAAAAAATTGTCTTCCCTTCCTTATATTTTCAAGGTTGCTCGTAAAAACGATTTCCTTCGGAGGCTTCTGTGCATTTTGTTACTTTGCTGGAACATCGAATAAAAAAAATTTAAATATTAGTTTATGGGTTAAAGTCTAGTTGTTCTGCTAAGTAAAGTGATTGTTGAAGTGACCATCCCCAAAAGATGGAATATTGTGATTGTTCAGTTGTTTTGAGCTCCGAACTGGTATCTCTTTTCTCGGATTTACTCCTCACAAAACCACATAGTTAATTCTTCTATGAAACCAAGGTAACCGTTCAGGGTGGTTAGATGTAGTGGTTGCCACCCGGACAGAAACGAGATTTCTGTATAGGCACTCGGCTATCAGAGCATCCCCCTAGCTTTTGGGCCACCCACCTTTCGTGTCCTTGCCAGAGGCCCTTTTTGACGCGTCGTATATGGGACGGGTGAAAAATTGTGTTTTAAAATGGGGCCAAGCCGTGCCGGTTTACTGTAGGACCGGGTGCCGTACTGAATTTTCGTTTCTGTGCCTACCGTAATAGCAGTGATACTATAAGAACGTTCTTTGAACGAGACAATCATCTCCTCAATGTACTCAATAGAATCATGTCGTCAAATCAGTCAGCTGTTCAATGATCAGCACAACTGACCACTGACAGGTGCTTATTCAAATGAGTTATGTGCGTTTACCAAATTTCCAAGGTAATCTTTGAATTTGCTTGGTAGTACATCCAGTGTGAGACCTCCATATTTTAGTGACTATCTCAAAAAAAAAACAACAGAAAACCAAATTCGTGTTGCTGTATGCCTTTGATCGGTAACGAGCGTGTACAACGCAAAGACACTTGATACTTCTGTTCAAAAGTTTCTTCCCTCTACTTTTTCATTACTGTATGTATTGAATTTCAGGCAATGTCTGGTTTGAGCCGCCTGCTGCCAGCAACACGTGGAGCTGTTATTCGCTCTACCCAAAGGAATTCATCGGGAGGATTCTATGGATCACATAACTTTGATGGCTTCAAAAACACGATGACAGGGTCGCTGAAAGAGGCTCACAGTAAGATTTTTCTCGTGTATCCATTCCAAAGGAGCAAGCCTAGTACAAACCTTCTTTGTGTGTTTCGTGTTTTGTTTATTAGATGACAACAGCAGACAAGTTTTTATCCATCTCAGAAATTGAATAGTGAAGGCTTCAACTCAAGAAAGAGATCCGAAATCTAGTTGTTCTTAGAACGAAATTTGAAGGAGATAGAGAAAGACTTCTGTTGACTTGTGACATCACGCACCTCACCGCTAGCAAATTGAGACTCGGCCTCAGCCGACTACATGTTGCCATTCAGCGAACACTAAAATACTGGTGTTGAGCTACTAGTTTTAGGCGCTTGCTTTTTCAGAACGACACCCAACAGGGCAGGCCCACTGTTGTGAAAACTATTCAAAATGAAAATGCGCTGATGATAACGATATTATTATGTTAGGTTACTTTTGTATTCGGCGGGATTTCATGTTCGGCAGTCCATCACACACCAATACCTTGCATCATCATCAGCTCCTCAGTAATATGTCAGGTTGAAGAAATTCAACTAGAATTTGTTAACCATAGGTGTATCGTACAATTAAGACGGCTTATTCTGAAATTTCACCACTAGTTGTCCCAGTGGGTTTTTTTTCCTGAATCGGTTCCTTCTCTATTAGAAGATACAGGTTTTCTATTATGAATCAGACAGTTCTTCCTACATTTTGTGTTCTGACGCGGCTCAATACATTGTTCAAAAGAACTTCGAAACTATCCGGGTATATTCCGCTTCTATTCTAACATTGATTGAGGACGACTTTGTGTGACCAATGTGATAGAGTGCTCGTCCAACAGGAATGATTAAAAATTAACTTTTCACCAAGTGACTTACAAAAACAAAGGTATTATCTATGTCTTTATTTACAGTCTCTTCTTTTCGTTCTATAAGTTTTCCAATGTCTTTGTGGGAGAAACTTATCGGTTTGGCCCAATGGCTAGCTTAATGAAAACAATTGAGCAAGAAACCATAGGGTTCCTGGGAACTCAATATGGGAGTGGTCAAAAGTGGTTTGTGACTAATTGTAAGTGAGTGACGCAATACGCACATGGTTAATTTCTTACAATGGAAAGTAGAGTGGGAGCTGTTGCCGTTTGGCTAATTTTCATCGATCAGACCTTCCATTCCGTAATCAATAAATTCGAGCGAATTCCTTTTCATTCTTGGAGCAAAATATATCGTATCCTAGCGCATACAGTGCAGAAGCTTTTCGAGTTGCTCAGGGTATGCTTAAGAAACAGGAAGAGAAGCAGAAAATTCAGCATGAAAAAAAAAACGCAAACAAACGCACGACTCAAGCGCCAACCAAAAATGTTGTCGTAATTTTTCGGTTTTTTTTTTTGAACCCTCGATCATTCTGAGTGACATGACAAACGGCAAACTTATGCTCCTTTCAGCAACCAAACAGACATGGAAGAAGATTTTCTTCTATGCGTCGATCCCTTGCTTGGCAATGACAATGTATGCTGCCTATAAGGATCATGCTCATCACATGTCACATGAGCGTCCAGAATATGTTGCCTATCCCTTCCTTAACGTCAGAAACAAGGTTCTTTTTTTTGATTACTTAAATTTGGTACATTCCGTCTTTATTCAGTTGTTTCAAACTTTGCTTGGCTTTGTAATTCCACGTTTCTTTATAATGCTATTGCTTTACGTTCATCGTATGATTTCTTGATAATGCGAGGTTTTGAAAAAGGAATCGTCGGCTTTTTAAGCAATAAGTAGGCTAACTTTCTTCGAGGGAAGAGAGAGTATTAGCCTCTCCATTAGAGAGGCCTCAGAAAGCAACCCTGTGCGAGCAAGTGCTTTGCTGATGAGAATAATAAGCTTGATGATGAATAGAAATTTCGTCGGTAGTGAAGTATGTGAGAAAAAGGGTTTGAAACAAATCAAATGTGTGATTCTCTCCCAAAACATTGTGATCGAACAAAATGCAAAACATTCAGTATGTGAACGTAATTTGTTTCAGCCCTTCCCGTGGGGAGATGGAAACCACTCATTGTTTCATAATCCTCGAGAGCAATATGTACCAGGCGTTGGATTCGAAGAAGAACGAGAAAAGCACTAGATTATTTGATGCTCGTTGCCCACAAACTTGCGACTTTCGCATAGGTAGATTGTAAGTTATACTATGTTCAAGATTCCTCCAAGCCCTTGGTAATTCGAGGATGTGGAATTCTCTTTATGTTGTTCCATCTAAGAATTGACAAGGGTTCTCTTTTGTATGAAGGTTGCGACGTTGAATATTGTATGATATTTCTTCATGTAGTTTGTGAATAAACGGATCAGATCAAGGAATATGTTTGCCTGGGAAAGGTTATGAAAGAGACTACCACAAATAAAAAACATTTTTTTTCTTGTTGGAGAAAGAATATAAAATGTTCACTCTTGAGTAGCTGAAAAGTAGCTCGCCTAGCTATGCTGGTTGAAGTGTTGCACACAAAGTCACGATTGAGATTAGGCAAGAGCCTTCGCGATATGTACACATTGTAACGACAGTGATGATAAACGACATCAATGTGACTGGTTTCGAAAGATGTTCCTTGAAATCAAGCAATTCTTTGCAGTGAATGTTTGGCGATGACTACCTCCTCGAACATGTGGAGGTGAGCACATGTTGTTTACAGCTGAATGACGCACTTGTTGTTTTTCTGCTTTATCTCTATCCCCCTTGCTCTGCAGATCTTCAAACGATATCGTAGATCTCAATCGCAATCGAATCGAAGCGGTTGTTTCCATAGATAGGGTGTGCAGTGAGTGTTCGTCGTTAATAGGTATTGAAACGAAAGGAAGACGTTGAGAGAGGACAAGCAAAACTGAGAGACTCAGCCCTTATAGTAGGCAATAGGTTTTGAAGGTGTAATACAAGGGATGGATCAATGAAACTGCTACTAGCTGTTAATTGTATTCGAACCTCAAGAAACTCATTATTTCATGCAAACTCCATAGACTTTAATGATAGCTAGCGTAATTAATCGTCCATCGATGGTTTTCAATCACTGTAGAAATGCGCCTTCAGGTACGCTTTGCCTTCTGGCTATGAAGCGTCACAACAGAGAGGATGCCCTTGCAAATAAAACCTTTTAAACATAAACGGGCATAATTCTTTATTACATGTTGGAGGGAAAAATACATAGAGATCATTCGAATGGACGCACCTTAAGCCCATCGGATTTCTTATGGTCTCGCTATCAATCGTAAACAGGTGTTAGTACTATACAGGAAGGTCGTTTCTGACACACAACAAATAGCGAGACGTAAAGAGCCCAGTTGTTCATAAGATCCGCCAAAGATAGAAAAATTGATGATCAAAATTATACAAAATAAAAGTTGTTCTAGAAAATGACAAGTGTACTATTCACACTGATAAAAGCAACAAGCAGTTTGGAAAGTGAAAACCGGAGAACATTTTAATCTGGGCGACCTGCGGTCATCGATCTTCTTTCGTATGCTGCTCTGAAATAATTGCTCCTTCCTTGTCATCAGCTAAAAAACTACGGAACGCTTGATGAATACGGGCAAAAGGGAAAGTGATAGGGAGCCTAGAATTTTGCCCTCCACAAGTTTTCACCTAGCGCCTACTCTTTTATTTCTTGGCCACACTAAAATTTTGGGCTTCGAGGGCAGGTCTTTAGAGCACAGCGAGTATCAATAATAGTCGCTATGAGGTACCTGGCTTATATCTCAGATGGAGTAGGTGTCGATCTCCCTCGTCCACGTCCACGTCCTCTTCCTCTTGTCGAGTAGGCGGTAGAGAAGCTGCGAACCGATGATACGTCGTCAGGGTGTTTTTCCTACAACAATGAGCTCTGCTCTAGAGAAACTTATCCTGCCGTCTAGTCCAATATAATAAGAAAAATTCATTAGAGCAGTATTTGCACAGTAGATCATTTCATTTTGAAGGAAATAAAATAATTAACACAGCAGGCAACTCACCACAAGTGAATTTCTGTACAGCAAGTATGGCTCCCATATGGGTTCTTTCGATGGCAAAATAGTAGGACCGTGCCGCTCCAAATATCGCATGCTACAATCAAAAATTTCATCAGAATCGGGCAAAGAGGGCAATTTTCAAACCAGGATAGACGCTTCAGGTCTATGCCTTCCAGTAATCGTCCACAATATAACACAAAAACTTACACAGCCGCTTTATCTTGTCGTATAAGTTTCGGGCTGAACTCCATGATTACCTCGAGGAATGTGATATTCATGGGTTTGTTGGCGGTACCTCGACGAGTTTGATTCGGATCAAAGCCCGTCAGAGCAAACTGGATCCCATCTCTTAATGTACATAATATTAGAGAACAAAAAAAACTAGAGTGTATAAAAACAAAAAAGAACGCCTTATATCAACACAGTGTTTCAGTGATTTCGCCAACCTAATTTACAGCGCTTTTTGTGACCACTGAAAACCTACGAAGTTGCCATCGTTTTAAAGGCAATAGAGTTCGACTCAAATAATTCAACTAAAGACTAAATCTTTAGGCGTTGATCAATCCCGTTGAGGGATGCNCCGCATTCGATTTTCATTCAGAATCCTAGTGGCGCATTCAATGCGCATGTGAAATATTCAATGACTTGTGTGGTCCAGCCGATGCAGGAGTAGATGCTTTTCCCTCCCAGGCAAGTCTGGTAACAGTTCTGCCCTTGAATATCTCAAACTCAAATAACTCAAATATCAGGGCCAATTAACTATCCGATCTGGGAGACCGTGAGTAAGAAGCCATCACAACTACTAACATTCTTGAAGATTTTTCAGATAAGAGAATGTTATACGAAGAACTTCTTGAAAACACTTAAAAGCACATAGGAGGCAACTTTGAGCTCCTATTTGGTGCTTCTTGTGGTGCGCGTCCATTACAAATGACCATCTCAGACTTCTGCTGGTTAGGTTCCGATCGCAACAGCACCTTGTCGTGAAACTATCAAACTATGGAATACCTGTGCACGACGGCGACGGCCTCGCGATTCTTGATATGATCGTTTCCAAATGCTACCGCGAAACGCTTAGCCAAATCACGCAACTGATGGAAGTCATCCGACAGCGGATCGACAAATTCGATCCCAGTGTTCATCTAGAGCAGATAAGCCTATCGTATAATAAATATTTTCAGAATAAAACAGTCGAACAAGAACTGACTCTGATGCTTTCGTAAACATCTATAAGGGATCTGGTGACAGCTTTGGCACAAGCGACAAAATTAAGGTCACGGCACTTGTATAATAATTGTTTTAAGATGTCGCCAAAGTCGGTGTAGAACTGAACAACAGCGGATCATAAAAAAAGTGCAGGATCAAATGAAGTCTTCAAAGAGTCACATACCTCACAGTAGTATCTCAGAACAAAGGAAGCATCCCTGATGGGGAAGACGCCGTGGAGAACCATTTTGCAGTATTGGGCTAATAAACATCGCTTCTTAAATTAGAGAATTTAAAGGCGAAAATTGGGCGAAGACAAATAGTTCGACTACCATATGCATGAGTTCCACTTGCTGTTGTTGATCGAGTTGAGTGTCTTCTGATGGAGGAGTAAAAACATTGTCATTAACAAAAGATTGCATCTTTTGTATGAAATCCTAGAAGCATACGATGAAAAGAGAAATTAAGAGACGAAAGACAACGGACGATCGTGTGATACAAAACCATTTCATAACCATTTACACACTCCTCAAGCATTCACCAAACATCATCAATGGGACAACTGGTTCCCCACTTTTTTTGCTACTACCCACGATTGGATAACCTCTTCAGGAGATTGCCGATGATTCGGGGTAAATTTTGGGGATGGTTCAGTTATTCCAGGTCCATTTGCTTGAGGTTTTGTAACAAGGAATTGCTCAAGAGTTCTAACAACTAGTCAGCCAAAATTAAGTGAGATCTCAAATAAATTAATTTTTAGGAATTGAGTTAGCATAAGAGCTTTTCACACTTTCTCTTCAAGTCAGAACTAAAGCGGAAAAATATGTCGATTAGAATTATAGTAGTTGAAAACTTTCAATTTTACGTCATGTAAAATAATTACAGTCAGGGCTCGACACTTAACAGACCAATGGACAATTAATTTATTGAATTCTCAAACATAACTCCGAAAGACACTTACGTTGTCAAGTCGCACAATTAGCGGTTCGAGATGAGCACCGTGAGATTTCAGCTCCTCATTGAACATGATGAGAGAATCATTAAGACATTGGAACGCCTAAACAAAGCTTGCTTCGAATTTTGGTCGAAGACAAAGAGTTAAGGCTTACTAATCTTGATTTACCAGTTCAACTCCCGAGGCACCTTCACTAAGTATTATATTCACATCGTGCAGGAACTGATCACGACGCTTCTTCAGTTTCTTTACCGCTTCCTACAACGAATTATGTTTGACAAAAGGGCCATGACTGAAACCGTAGTCTTGCTAACGTTACCGTCTTGTTTGGTTCCTGATCGCGGATAAGCCGAAGTAAATCCCAGCTCAACTGCATGTATAGGAACCAAATAGATTTGTCAATGACATCACGCGGTGCCTTGTCATCATGGTTGTTAAGCACATGTAACACCACATCCCATAGGTCCCACTTCTTCAAGTCAATATGACTGAAAAACAAAGAAATTTCATCGAATATGCAATCACAACACCGCTCACGCCAGTGCCCTCCATAAAAATGTGGTTGATAGGCGATAATCTAAATTTGGGATTGTAATGACATATCCTACCTTGCGAAAGCTGTTATTTTACGGAACGCAGCTAGCATTGCCGCTTCATCTTCTTCGTCCCATTGGTCTTCATTCATGCAGCGTTGTACAGTGTGGCGAAGTTGCAAAGCTAGTCCATCAATGAGCTAAATTTTCCACCATCAGAGAAAACACATTGCCACTTTGTCATAAAACAATGAGAATTGTATTTTCAATGCTCAAATTGATAGCTAAGTGGCGCTTGCAATCAGCCATCTCCGCCAGAAAAGTAAGCAAAGATCGGAGGACAACTAACTTTCAACCGGTATGTTTCTGTGTGCTGTGCAACAGAAGTATTCGTAGAGAAGTAAGTAATCATCTCAGCCACGGTATTCATCATCTCCTCATCAGCATGCTTCTCAACCACCATATCTATCACCCGCATGAGTTCATTTAAATGCTGCAATATCATAGTACAGATGGTTTTTTTCAGAGAATGTTGAATACAATAGACTGTGAGCTTACATTTTCTAATCGACCGGCCATATAAATATCCAGTTGGAAATTGAGTGGTAATGTAATCAAGTTGGCAACCTTGTCACGATCCGCGATGAACTAAAAAGATCCAGATTACTGCACATCAATACTTGGTGAACAAGTGTATTGCAATAAAAGCTCACTCCATAAACAACGGAAAAACAACAGACCTTTTGTAACAGCTTTGGAAGTGCGGGGATTAGGACCTCTGAGAGTCGAGTACGATCTTCCACAAGAGTGCGACTTTCCTTAGTAGAAGGGGCTCCTCTTTTAACTACAGACCGGCCAACAGGTGGTTCACCTGTGGCAGCCTGGCGTACCGAACACACCAAAACTTCAATCAGTTGCGATTCGCTTGACTCCACTGAAAAAAGCGGGTGATGATCGTCATTAGAACAGTAAAAGGCTCTCCAAAAAAAACTACCTTCGTCACTCAGAAGAAGGTCAACCATTGTTTGCCAGTCTTTTATCATTGGATTCGTGTCAATCAAGGCATCAACCAGGTAAGTAGCATGCTCGTGGCACTAAATCAGGAAAAATAAGATAAGAAAAAACCTCGAGAGGACACACCAACCTCTCCTTCTATGTAAAATTGAATTAAATCTTGGATGAGCTTAGCATTATCACCCATCCCTCCTCGGCCTGAGGTCGTTGCGTTAGAAGCTTTTGCACGTTGTGAATGTTGAAATACCTCAACAAGAACTGTTACTGTAACGCGGGCTATAGAAATGGGTAACGCGGCAGCTAAGGGAGAAATGATAAAGCTGCATGTACGCAGATACCTTGGTGTTAAGAAATTCGCCAGCTGCAACAGCGAGTCCACGATGATTGCAATATACGAGCTCATAAATTGGAACACAGTCTTTTAGCTGGAGCAGTGTAGGAAACACACTGAAAAAAATTGAGAGCGTTACTAATTAAATACTATTAAACCATATTTACTGGAAAAATATCGTTGAGTTGCTGAAACGGCTACACTGCATTCCTCTTCACCACAATCATGCCATAAAAAGAAAGATTGTGCTGGATAGTATGCCAGTAACCATTGCCTGTCAGTCAAACAAAGCAAAAAAATGATTCAGACGTACCGATAGATGCTCGTCATAAGTTGGCATGTTTTCATTCCAACTTCGTTGTCTTTGTCCAGTACCATTGATACAAGTCTGTCCTTGAACTTATTAGTGAATAATTCCAATTTCATCAAGACGTCAGGCTTATCATAAAGAGGCAACAGAGCAGAAATGCACTTCAATCGTACGTCCGGCACCTATACAATACCGTTTGAGCACGAATATAATTCATGTGGAGGAGTGAGGCACGTTAACGAACTAGGAAAGACAAAGAGACACCAGAATACCTTATCATAGAGACTCCATCCAATATATTTGAGATATGAGTCCTCCAAAAAGTGATCCGGATAAACGAGCATCCAGTTGCCGAGCTCAGTGATGCAGATGGACCGCGTGTCCGGCAGGACATCCCTTGAATGATATCATTCCAGCATCCCTACTAATCAAGGCAAAAAAGCCTCGAAAGTCTGAGAGGAAATAGTACTTTGAGAGAAATCGGACTGACCTGTACCTATGAACAAATACACTCTTAAAAATGTATTGCAGCATTTGACGTACGTCATCAGTACGCTCTTCTATCTGCAAAAATAAATTCGCAAATTCGCATTTCCGGACGAAATGTTTCCAGAAAGCTTGGAATAGGTCTTAGCCTAAATAGCCTAGTGGGCAAGGTGAAAAATAATTCTGACCTCATTCTTTTTCTGTATGAGCACGTCCAGTTTCTCATTCGTGCCGGAACTTTGCTTTAATCGTGCTTTCTCGGCCTCCAATTGTTTAGCATTACGGTCCTTAACGGCGACTAATTCCAAGGTAACATCCACCAGTGCCGATGATATCTTCATTGCTAAATAGTACAATAAATTCTTGGTATAGATAGGATAAACTGATACAGTATTTATAGATAGAATCATGACTCCTCATAAAAAATTTGTCAAACATAAAATATTCACAATAAACCTACCTGCGAATGTGGCCGTGTGTCTAAAAGCCCGTACTTGGCTATCCGCTAAGCCCGTCAACAGTTGTATGACACTGTCCATCATCCTTTGGTCGAAAATAAGCGATGATTTACACTTATCAATCCAAACCTAAACAAAGCGACGATCAAAATCGAATTGCCGCCAATATTACTCTCTTCAACTGCATTTCAGGTCTCTTAGCGCACACTTTTGAGAACGAAATTGATCACCGATAAGTAGATGGTTCACAATGGTAATCTCTGGAATTCATCGCACATTCTACTCTCACGTGAGACTATCAAATATTACAGTTACTTTGAAAAAATATAAAGAGTAATAAACGGTCCATTGCAAGTCATTCGCACCAAATACTTATGCATTTCTGGCGAAAACATAATTATTCTGCAGGTATCGACTTTAGAAAAGGAAAACCAACGTAGAGCATGGAGTGAAGATTGTTGCGGAATTTCTTCCATTGTGTTCCCGTGAGAATTAGCGGATAATCACCAGAGTCTTCATCAAAATCTTCGGTCATACGTCGTATAATTTCACTGAAAAGCGCTATGTTTGATTTGATCACGAGAAAATCCGAGCCGTCCAACCTGTATTCCATAGTGCTTAGCATGTGAGCATTGATGGTTCCTTTACAGCCACAACAAGAAATGAAGAATTGTTGTAACTTCACTAGAGCAGCATCAGGATTTCGCTCGTATTCTTCAATCCATTCGTCAATAGCTTGCTAAATATGTGCTGCTTGGTCAACTACTGCCACAAACACACCTACTGAAAAGAGAAATGGAACGAGACTTCTAAATTTCTTCCTGTCTTCACGGCTCCAAACAGCCCAGTCTCGTCTATCTCCGATAATGAATGGGCTTGCTGTTCACCCAAAATCGACCGCCTCATTCCACCACCACGTACGCCTCGTGTGATGCCTGTACCACGCGGTCGGCCTCGCTTTGGCTAAAGACAACACTGACTAATCCGAGGATACCAAAATACTCATAATAACTCTGCAGAAGCACTCACAATGCTCCATGAAGCCATAGAGGAAGCATCATCATAAGTTGGCCTCCGCTTTCGACCACGTGTACTGGCCGTTGGAGAACGGAAAATGCTCTCATTCCCTGCAGCGTCCCCGGATTCACTAAACTCATTGGAACTCGATTATGCAGCTTTAACCATTGAATCACATAACTAAATCTTGCCCGGGGAATAAAAAAATACAATTTATCAAAGTCCCATATAGACAATAAGCAAAGTTACAAAATCACCTAAACTGATTAGATGATGAGGCTAATCCAACACTACTAGAACTATTCAGCTCAGCGTAGTTAATCCTCTGTCCACGAGTAGTCATACGAGTTGGTGGCTCCGACGCATCCATCATCTGGACGTCCTCCATAACGCTTAATCAACAAAATTTAGTCAAAATGTGGGATAAGAATAATATGTAAAACAGAGATGGTTATGGATAAGCAATCAAAACAATCAAGCAAGAAGGAGAGTGGGGTTTTGGATAGAGTAACTGTACCATTTTAATGTTTTTCTATCACACTAATCCCCACATCTATAAAGAAAAGGAAAAGGAAATAAGGTAGGATAGTTAAGTTGCAAAACTTTGACACATAAAATCCTACTTATCCACTCCTTTGGCTTTGGTCGCACTCAAAAGCGCAGGTCACAGAAATAAACCAGGGTACTAATTCATAGGTTGCGCCATGGCATTTTGCCAATATTCGCTCGCCGCTCCTGGCAACATGCCAAGGCCGTAGCCCCGCCTCATTTTTGGAAGATAATCCTTGGGCTATGCGCCAGCCAAAATAAAGCATTCATCAGACAAAACATCATACTGAAAATAGAAAGTAAGGAAGAATTATTTCGGATGTAAGCAAACGAATGTTGGACGCCCTGGTTGGAGAGTGGTGTTTTTTTGCCGCATTTACACACATTGCATCCTATCTCACGCGAAATGTTTTAGGGGGACGAAACTTACGTGCGTCCGAGGGTGCGCGCGGCAAATTGCGCGGCGAAGTTCGTGACGATTCGAATGACTTTAGCGGCCGTCATGGGGGTCCAAATTTGGAGTAGTGTAGATTAGAAGGATCATCTGACCTTACTGAACTACTCCACTGCAAATTTGTCCCCCAATAATAGGCGCCAGTGTCGTTCGAATCACCATGAATTTCGCCGCGCAACTTGCCGCGCGCACCCTCGGACGCACGTATATACCCATACCCCGCCGCGCTATTTGCCGCCCATCCAGAATTGGGTGACTGTTCCGTCCGCAAATGTTTTGGGTAGGTGTGGTCTGTCTCACAGGGGTATTGGGTGCTTTGACTTTTATGGAGGCTGGAAATAATCCTTATCTGTTTTGAAGTTTGCGAATATAACGTTGCTTGTAATTCAATTTCATGATATGCGTCATGTGGGCGCATTCATAGTATGTGTCTACTATAAATGCGCCCAGTGACGCCGCTCTATCAGCTACGCGTGCGGCGATCGATACTGCAAACTCAATTCTCGTAATAGGATCGACCATACTAAGGCATAGGAGCGTTACCAGCTGAAGCAGGGAGGCATTCGACATCTTTTTCGTTCTTGATTTCATACGAACGAAGCCATGCAGGAGATGTCGTAGAAGACGACTTCTACGGAAGGTATGTTCATCCCACTCCCGTTAGATGAGCGGAGTCGGATGGGATGAACCCGTGAGGGAGGCACGCTTCGGAAACGCTCCTCGCCACACACTTGCCCGTGACTTCTCTCCCAATCTTCGTCGGGACAATCCCAGTCCCCTCATTTGCTCATTTTCAATAAGCATTCCACTGATCCTGATTCAGTGGAATGCTTAATTCATTTGAACGAAAGAGTAATGATGAATCCAATCTTCTGAACCTATCCTAGTCTGGAGAGATCAGGATGGAGGCCAGTGGGGGAGACAGGCAGTTGGACCTCACTGCAACCCTGATTTCTTACTCACTACGCCATGTTTAACGGAAGTAATGAAAAATGTGTTATTTAGCTGCGGTAGAAGTGTGATCCATGGTTTAGCCAAATATAGAAGATGGATGAGAAACANGAATGCTTAATTCATTTGAACGAAAGAGTAATGATGAATCCAGTCTTCTGAACCTATCCTAGTCTGGAGAGATCAGGGTGGAGGCCAGTGGGGGAGACAGGCAGTTGGACCTCACTGCAACCCTGATTTCTTACTCACCACGCCATGTTTAAGCGAAGTAATGAAAAATGTGTTATTTAGCTGCGGTAGAAGTGTGATCCATGGTTTAGCCAAATATAGAAGATGGATGAGAAACAGGAGCTTCTCTGAGAGTAAGATTACATAACTTGAGCAGTAGAGAAAAATGAAATTGGAATTAGTATAAGGGAACAACTTGAATCAGAAAACAGAATGCAACGTCTACAGGAAGTAGCCAGGGATGTTCCAATGCGACGAAACTTATATTCAACGGAAACGGAAGCAGCTGAGGAATGAATGCAAAACCTATAATCAAAAGATGTACGAGAAAGAGCATGATTAAGCATGCACTTCAAGAGCTTAGAAACATATTTACCAGGAGCAACAGAAGCGAAAGATCGGTATGGGCACTCAAATCTTTGTAGTTCGCCTATGGGTCTTCCATGCAGCACACTGGCACATCACCAATCCACTCCTTAACTTTTCTCAAGCTCCTTTGAGAAGCGCTCCATGCGTAGAGGATTTGATTATCCAAACAGGTTTATCAATGAAAGAGAAAGAAAAGAAAACTCGTGTGTTGTTTAAAGAGATCTGCGGCCAAACAACATGATTTCAACGTAAGCTCAAGCGTTGAGCGCCGGGCGCTGGGCGTCGGTCGTTCATTAGTTCTTATTGAAAAGTGCGGTGTATGAACGTGGTCATAGTGAGTGTCGAGAAAATGCCCCTGCTTCATTCGATGGATTTGATCGCGGGAAAACTTTTTCACTTAACTGCATGTTCTGTTTCATTCCTCATCGTGCGTCAAAGAATTGTTTTTTCTACACTGATAGCCTGCGATCTTGAAGAAGCCACTCGTTTTCGCGTTTTTGGCATCTTTCAGAGCATAGCGTCAAGCGTCTCGATGCAAGAACGTTGAGCGCCTTCGCTTACGGCACACAACACTCACTCCTCTTCCGTCAAAAATGTTTGATGCCGTGCTCCGAAAGTGCCCCTGTTTGAGCTCTCACAGTGGGATGGTTTCCTACTGTCAATCTCTCTTTCATTTCAACTTTTCAGAAAAAATCCTTGCCTCCCAGGGCCTCGCTCCCTCCCTCCATAGACATAGGGCAAAAGTTTCATCCGAGTGGCTCAAGATCCTTTCTAAGCATCGCTACAGGCCCGTTAGGTAGTCGCCTCACCATGCTTCCAATGCTTCGAGGAATCAGTGCAGATAGTATGTTATCTACGTCTATACAACGCAACGGATAGAAAGCAAAACAGATTTGTACCACATCGCCCATCGCTTTCTTGGGAATGTACGGAAACAGAAGATCCGCCACCTGAACGCATATCTATTGATGTAACGTCCAATTTAGAAAGGATTCTTGATGGCGTCCCACGATCAAGTTCCCATCTGTCTATATTTCCATCAAATCCCATTCAGGGTCTTGTTTCTAACTTGTGAACCTAGTGGGGAATGTTTGTCAATTAAACGAGCCTTCACTCGACGGAGATTCGAACACACGCCAAAGACAGGAATGCATGGGAAGGCTATGTATATTAAAAGTGAAAACTCAAGGTAGTACGGGCGATCCAGAGGGAGCAACAAATATGTTGCTGAAAGTAATCAAGAAGCCAACCATTACTCAATTCTTTTACTTTTTACCAATATTCGATCGTTTTTACTGATAGGCTTGGAGTCAAGGCGGAGACACTTCGCTGTTTTTCTAAAGGAATCAATAAAAACATCACATGTTTGTGGGTGGTGCCACGTTTGTTGTTACTCTCATCGCTAAAAATACACTCCGCAAGTCAGTGAGTGAGCATCATGAATGTCTATTGCAACGTTTTTATCTGGTAACTTGGTGGTTTTGCAGCTTCGATCACGTTTACGTTCTTTTTTGGCCGGTGCATAGCCAGGCCTAGGAGATCTCCAGTCCTAGGCCTGGCTATGCACCGGCCAAAAAAGAGTTATGAGTTAGCACGAGGTAAGAGTTATGAGTCCCAGTGATCTCATAACTCTTACCTCGTGCTAAGATTTAACACCCTCCCCCCTAAAAAAATCTCCAGCAATATCTTGTTTCTCGTTGACCTTTTTCGTATATTAGCTGATTGCGTCTTACATAAGTTCTTTAGCAGTTTAGCTGAGTCCAGCTAATCCAGCTCTGTTTTTGATGGGATACTTCCTCGGTTTACATATTTCGGATGTTGCTTTATAGTGTTATTTATGTTACTTAGATTTTCATCTTATGGGAATTGTCGGAACGCAGCGACTTTCGCAGATCCTGAACACTGCCACAGCTTGCGGCAGCTCCGTTTTTGTTCTGAAACGCTTAATCAAATCCCCCTTACAACTCGTACATCCCCTGATTTCGTTGCGAAGCACCTGATTTTCTATCGATCATTTCCCACACCAT